TTGAGCGCATTTTTATGGACTTTTTCTTTCTGAATCTTGTCCTTTGAACATTTTGATTATCATCTTCAAAGTTGAGCACATTGTCCGCTAATTGCCTCTCACGATCAGCTGCTAACATTGATCGTAACGGCCGTGTAGTGTCCGCAGAGCAGACAGGCGTCACGCAAACGCCGTCCAAATGATGACATAGGTGTTGTGCGCATTGCTTTCCCACTCAATTGTCACTCGTTTGTCGTGTTTACAGCTTTTTCAGGTCATTTAACTCTTTTCTCGAGTTGCCAGTTCTAATGTGTGGTTGCTTTTTTGCTCCGTTTGCTTTTTTTTCTTTCGCGTTGCTGTTCTTAGTCATTTTTCATTTGCAACTGTCTCACTTTAGATATCACCGCAGAGGTTTCGACATTACTCAAATCACACACTTTATCTATGGAATTGTTACCAGATCAAGCAGAAAAGCTTAGGCAGTTTCAGGTGCTTGTTTTCGAGATGTTTGATTGCCTTTTTTCATCATATGTTTTTGCAGGAAGTAACAAATGTAGCAGAACGGGATCTAGCTGCCGCCAGACTAGAATCCGTAGGATGGAACTTGGAACAAGCGATTGAATCTTATCTTTGCGGTGATGGAATTGTAGGAGACGATGTTGAAGTGCTGCCCCCACCTGCCAAAAATCATCGTCGTGAAGTGTCGTAAGTTATTGCATTCTTGCATATTTTTGCTTCATAACCACTAAGGTGGCATCATTGTAACCTTGTAACGTCCTAATTCTGTTTCGCTGCAGTTATACTTTTTTTCCCGATTATTTGCACAGGTCATCTTTGTGTGTCTTTGAAATCCTAAGTGTCCTACTTCTCTATTATTCCAATCTCCCTCTGGATCATGACATTGACTTAGCCGTTTCCTGGTTTTCTACACTCAAGTTTACCTTTCGATTCAGTGGAATAGGCGGCTAGAAGTTCTTCCGCTCGCACCCGCGCCGCATCTGCGTCTCTCCCGCAGTCATGCTCTCTGATCACTTTCTAGCCTTGACTAGGTCACGA